ACCGGTGGCGGCACCGGTATCGGCAAGGCCATCGCCGCCGACTTGCTAGCGCTAGGTGGGCGCGGGGGGGCTCCGCAGGGGCTACAGGGCAGGGTGGGTTCTGGGGGAGCAGGGCCGGGCGTGAGGTGAAGGGATGGAGTTTGAGGGGGCGGGTCAGAGAGCGCCCGGGAGGGTTGTGGTGTGTTCTGGGGGTAGGCAGCGCTCGGTCTGTGAGGAGTTTATGGGTGGGCAGGAGTCAGTGAATAGCGAGGAGAAAGAGGTGAGGTTGGTGTGGGCTTTTGACCTGCTGGTCCTTAAGAGATGTGCTATTTTCAATGCAGCGCTCAAAGGTTGTGTTAAACCCGGACCCTTTCTCTCCTAAGTGAGTTTTCGTCTTGCTTAACTGAAGGATTTATCTGGTTGTTGAAATGAGGTTTATGGAGTAGTATGGTTTTGAACTGCTGTCTGCACAGTAAGCTTAGAGAAACGGTGCTTCTCTCTCCGTGCTTGTGACAGAAATGTCCTGAAGTTAAAGCATCCCTTCAGCGTGCACTTTGTGGGTTTTCTTTCTGTGGTGATTACACAGAAGTGGTAAAATAGGGAGCGAAAGGCAGTTTTTTGAGTCATCCACCTTGCAACACCTTTTCTGTAGGTTTCAACATAAGTTCTAGGCATCATTGGCATCAGACTGGTTTCACATGTTTATTATGATTGGATTCACTGTCTTCAAAATACCAGCACTAGCGTTATGCCTCATGGTGCCAGGCTCCCCCGTGGTTTGTGCTGTTGAAACGTGCACCGTGCCATTTCACTTCATAGTAAAGGGCTTTGTTTGTTAAGACTCAGTGCTGGGAGACATCTCTGCCTCTCCAGGCCTTTGTTGCCCTAGCTTTCCACTTGCTCTGTGGAGGAGCAAGTTCTGCTTGCTTTGTATTACTAGGGAACTAAGCATTTTTTTAAGATGTCCTTACATGCTGCCATAAAGAGGTGCTTTTAAGCATCATCACATTGTCGGTTGATGATGTTACCCAGTTACTTTAAAATTGTACTTAATTTGATCTGTGTTATTTTTCTCAAGCAAAATACAAATAAGAAAAGCGTGTCCTTAACATCCTAGATAGAAAACATGAAGAAGGCTGCAAATCTTTACAAAGCACACATGAAAAAATGAAGAGCTATGGCTTAAGTCTGTCTGAGTAACTTTCCTTACCTGCAGACTTGCTGGCTACTCCTGACAAGAAGATAACCAGGACTATTTCCCTGTATATCTTGCGCTTTAAGCTGTATTTTTTTTGGAGGGGGCCTGGCTGGACAGAGAATGCCTGTAGGAGCAGTGACAGATAATGCCAGTCATGATGTACATTGTTTTTGTAACCAGTCTCCTCTGAAACCTTCTGGACAGATTTTAACCTTTTCATCTGGAAACTTGTGCCCTTTCCCCCCCTGACCCTATCAGGAAATGGTCTGGCCATTCTTTGTGAAGAAGAATATGTGAAGTAGTGCCAACTTGTACAGGAGGTACCAAATCTTCCTCAGTAAATTAGAATCTCCCATCCCCCAAGTAGTGTATTTAACAAAAATATAGTCTTTTACTAGACCTTCTTCTATATCAATGTGTGTTTTAGTAAGCACTTAAATTGATAAATATATGCTACAGTGATTTAGTGTTTTGTCTTAATTGATAATTGTGTGTGCCATTTTATTAACTCTACTCAGCGTTAGGTGATTGTGCAAGTGACTGGAGTTCTTAATTTAAAAAATCAGGAGACCTCAGAGACTAATATCTTTACATGTGTTGTTTTAAGATGGCCACTGATGTTGGTTTAAGATGGCCAAAGGTGAAGCTCCCATTCCTAGGGATATGCAGTTGCAGCACTTCCTTCTGAAAGAATTCAGCTCCTCTATTTTTTTATAGTCTTTTTTTTAGTTTTATGTATAGTTTCACAAGACAGTGTGAGCCAAATGAACAGCTTACTGCTCTTTACTCCCACTAGTTATTTTGAGTTTATTCTGGTGTTTGTTTGATCACATGAGAGGCCAAATTCCACTCAGTAAAATAGCAACAAAGAAAAAAAAAATACCTGGCAAGATCTTAACACTTTTTTTTTTTTTTTTGGCTGGTTTTGGGTGTTGAATTGGTTTATGTTAAAGCAGATGAACACCAGAACTGGTATGAGGAAGGGATGGCTTCTGCTGGGATGCTGAGATTATGAAAGGAGGGAACTGGGAGCAAGACCTCCTTGGCAGTGGAAGCTAGTAATTTGCTTATCCATAATATGAAATTGCATGCCTACTGGATTTGCACTAGGAACTAATCTGGTGTGGTATGTTTTAGTCTATGTAGTAGCAATTGCTGAACCTGTGAAACTGTTCTGAGTCTGCTGGTGTGACAGAAGAAACTAGACTGGTTATAGTGCTGTTAATTTGGCACCTGCATTGTTTTTCTGTGTAGAATGAGTCCTTTTGCCTCCAAATGCTGAAAAAAACAGAAGGTTTGAGCTCCTGCCTAGTTTTTTCCTCTCCTTTCTGAGCTAGGATTCTACAGCGTGTGGCAATGCCACGGGGAAGCTTCTGTTCCTGCTGTCTGTAGTCTGCAGATGGGAATTAATCTCATAAGGCTATCATCTTTTCCTTCAAACTCTGTAGGGTTAAAAAGCAGAGCATTACATTTGCTCACTACTAGTCAAAATTACAACCAGACATACAGTAAGAATATTTTTGTGGTTTTAGGAGCAAGCATTTTTTTGTAATCAAGACCTGCTGAAACATCTTTAAATCACATAATTGATGAATGAGGCAGCTGTGAGCAGAGGCAGCAAAAGTGATGTCTGAGAGCTACTTTGCTGACTCTGCAACTCACGGGCTATCTTCCCTTCTGCAGGAAGGAGAGGGAACCTTGTGGACTTTTTTTTTATTGCTCTTTTCCTGGCACAGTGGGATCTTGTTGCTTAGAAGCACCTGACATCAGTCATTTCTCTCTCTTGCAAGAACTTCAACACTGTATCTTCTAGTCAGCGACTGGTAAACACACATCCTACAAGATATCTCCATGATGTTATTAAAAACTAGCATAACTGTAATTTTAACTATGTTAGCTGAAGGATGTTTCATTTTGTCTCTACAGGTTGCAATGTTGTTATTGCCTCTCGTAAATTTGACCGATTAAAAGCTGCTGCAGAAGAACTGAATAATACATTTTCTTCCGTGAGTCCTGCCAAAGTGACTCCCATACAGTGCAATATCCGCAAAGAAGATGAGGTAAAAACTAGTGATCTTGTTCTTGGGCTTAACATGTCAAAAGCATATTGTGTATATAAATTCTTAGATCTCCAAAGGTCTTCTCTGACCCTCTCAAAAGTGGCTTAGATCAAGTGAAAGGTGCAGCACTGTTAAATTGATCTAGGTAAAGATGTGCTTTCCAAGGGAATACCATTTGTCAGCTACCTAAGCAAGAAAGCATTTGTAATTGCAAATGGTTTTTCTGACCATGCATACGTATTTCAGATGTTTGTGGGAGAGGCAGCCCTTGGAATTGGCATGTTCTACAGCTAAACCAGAGCCCACTTAGCATGATTCTGTCACGTTTCTGTGACAGCAGTGAGGGGGTGTTAACTTGTGAAGATGGAGACCTCATAATAGTTCCTTCAAACAGGAAGTCACAGCATGGAATCTCAACACTTGTGACTTGACACAAGTTCCCTGCATTGTCAGTTTTGCTTGTATTAAAGCAAAGAAAAACCCCACAGGTATTACTATTTTTAGCCAGGTTTCAAATTTTGGTTACAACTTGAAGTGTACCTCATTATGAACTCTATTACTATCCCAGTTGAATTTTTTCTTTTTTTCTCTATTACAAAAAATGGAAGATCAAGAGCAAAAGTACTTAATCCAGGTTCTTCAGAAGTCTGTGTTCACCTCCTAATTTTTTAATCTGTGTAATTAAACATTTAAAAGTCCAGCATCAGGTTAGACTTTTAACTTACTGAACACAGCTAGAAAATATTCCAGTAACCGCTGATTGCTACATTTCTCTTCACCTTTCAAAGCCACTGTTAAATTCTAGTGTAACGTAAAGAAATATTAGAAATATTAATGACCTTCAGTAGCTATGTAGATTCTGGAACTATCCTTATATACAACCATAAAGCAAATAAAAATTAAAATTCTTCCCTCATGGAACAGCTTACGCCATAAAATATTTATAGTCATATACTTAGACTTTCTCTCCTGAAGGAGGTGAACCCTGGGGCTGTGCAGTAAGTCACTTCACCTACCAGTGAATTTTAGGTTTGTATCTACTAGCATCAGCAGTGTGATATAATAGGTTATGACAGATGTCAGGGGGCAACTTACATGATTAAAGCTACAGGAGAGAAAAGAGGTACAGGGAGAGAAGAGGTTTAAGCCTTCTTTCATGTCACTGTTCTTGCAGAAAATACTCTGGCATGCTTAATAACCTTCTGCAGGTGAATCTCATTTCTGCATCAGTTTAAAAATGATTTAGTGGGAACTGCAGTGTTCTGTGAGATGGTAGAGGGCTTGGATCATGAAACGAGGCAATCTTCACTAACAAACTACCATTTTTTCTTTGTTTCCTGTTTATTAAGTGTGGCTAAATACATACTTGATAAAACAGTCTTAGATGGCTTTGGAAACTTTTTTGAAAGTGCTTTTAAAGCCATTTTTATAGTGATGTGTAAAGTGTTTCGGCATTATTCTATTACGGGTAGCCATGCTGATAGTTGGAGAAACTTCTGTCTTAGGTATTACCCTGAAGTTTCATCATAGAATTGTCTTGTTTCCAGTTTAGTTTTAAGCTCTACTCATTTACAGACACACCAGAACTTTCTTAGAACTTTTAATACAATATTGCAGAAGCATCTATCAGGTGTCTTCTGCCAGTGGAAGTTCTCATAAACCATTGTCATTTCATATCCCTATCTATTGAAGAGAGGGTTCAGTGGAATAAGGTAGATTAAACTCCAGTCTTGAATTTTTCAGTCATTGACTCAGTCGTATAGTTTGACTCTCCGCTCTTACTTCTTTCTGTTGAAGTCCTATTTAGAAAAAAAAAAATCACTATGAAAATTTTGTAAGCCTTTTGTGGAAGTTTTGAATAAGAAATGGAATTTCTGTTGCACATTAACATAAGAACTTAAGTGTACCTGCTAAACAAATATTTATCCATTCTAGATGCCCATCTTCAAGAGCAGATATTTTTACTGGTTAGAGAGATCCTGTGATTTTTGTTCTTTAGCTCTTATTTTTCTGGTTTTATCCACCTCCATTAGTTCTTTAATGCTGTAATTCTCAAAGATTGCTAAATTCTGGCTGCTTGTTACTTAATTTCTAAAATTACTATTGGACCAGAAATGTGTAGATCATGTTTTCAGCTTTTAAATCTGTAGTGAGGATAGCACTTCCTTACACTTAGGTGCTTAGTGTTTGTAAGTTGAAGCTAGATAAACTTAAACTAACAATCAGTAACTTACACTGCTAAAAACTGTCAGAACTGAGGGATGTGGCAGATTTTCCACAACCTATTGCTCACTATTGCTTATTTATTATATTTGCTAAAAGCAGCGATGGCAAGTACTTTTTTTCTAATTTACACTTGATTGTCTTACAGCGACTAGAGGAAAAGTACTGCTGGGCTTTCCCTTCTATTCAAAGAGCATTGTACATCCACTTTCAAAACCTATTCATTTCTTAACCTAAAATTTAGTGCCTGTGACTTGGAGTTTTAGGAACAGGGATCAGTAAAAGTTGTAGTGAAGGATTTTTCTAGCCTTGGGGGTGAATTTTGAGTAGAGGCAACACAGCAATGTTACTCAGTTCAGCATTTTCACAAATACAGGAGCAGCTTCCTGTTTACAGTAGAACATGGGATGAGAGGGCATTTAAACTTTTGGCTTCCCTCCTGAAAGAAACAAGACTTGTACAACTGGCTCTGTATGCTACTTATTAATAACTTTACAACTCATTGTCTGGTTTCAGCTTAGTATGAGTGAAGAGTATTTATCTCAGAAATTCATGGAATCACATTGTTGGGTAGAGAGGACAGCCTCTACAAGTATTTCCTGTGAGTCATTACATCCTCTTTCTCAGCTCTTATACCAGGTACCAAAGAATGTGTGAGAGAGAAAGACCTTATAAATGTTTCAACAAGGGAAAAAAACTTAGGAGTTCAAGCCTCCTTAGGTGTCAGAACTGATCCATCACAAGCTGCAAAGCCCAGAAAGCTTCCTGGAGAACTACATAATTCATTTAATATATCCTTCTCTTTGACATCTCACTGAAACCTTTCTAAGAGTAAATCTTTCTGTTGAAGGAAGCCACCATGATCACCTGTAGGAAGGAACAGCCATCTGTTCTTACGGTAGCATGTCTTTTGGTTTTTTTCATCCCTTCATCTCCATCAGTTGTTCTGCATTTCTCTTAAGACCCCTATGAATTTTGTCCAGGTTTTAATTTTATAATCAGGCAAGCTGAAGGGAGGGACATTGAATAGAGGAGATCTAAGAAAGATGAAAGTGCTTTCAAAATTGCCAGATGATTTTTTTTTTTTTTGCCTCCTATTGCAAATCTTAAAGTAACTGACTTGCTTTGAAGATGACACAGCTCATTCCTCTTGCGTGCCCTCGTTTGGATCTGTGAAATTCAAGCATTAGAAGATTCATCCTTCATCATATAGTGCAATATGTCTGCTAGAGCTCTTTCTGGCCTAGAAAGAGTCAAAGAAGGTGCAGTGAATTAATAGCTGCAGAAGCTTGATGGCAGATATCATGGGAATAGCTTAATGAATTCACATTTTTAAGTCTCTTAATCTTCATCCTCAGAGGCCCTCTTGCTTTCTAGCAAAGCTTACTTTTTGTTTAATGTGCAAAAAATAATCTTGCTTGATGGAGGATTTTCAACCACTGCATAACCTGTCAGGCTTATTTTTGTCACAAGTTTGCTGTTACTAGTTTTGGCTAGTTTTCCATTGAGTGTTTTGTAAAGTATAACAAATCTGTTTTGTTTTTAAAGATGGAAGAGTAGAGAGTTCTGGGATACCGGTAAGAGCACCTGAGGTTTCTATGTTCTGTTTTCACAGGACCTTATTCTGAAGCAGAGATTATGCACCTGTCCCTTATCTTGTGGTCTGGAGTGTATGTAATAATCAGTATTGCTTCTTAGTGATTATGAAGCTGAAGTGATTTTCATTATTTGGATATTTTCTAGCACTGCTCACATAATGTGTTGAATATATCAAGAGCGGGTCAGTTTGCTCTTGCTGAGATGCAGGTCAGACAGCTCTGTGTGTGTGTGTGTGTGTCTTTTCAAACCAAGCTCTTTTTGCAAAATCCAAGGATCTAATTAATTAATTCCAGTGCCTCAATGTAATGGTGGTCAGAGTGGAGTAGGAAGACCCTATCCTTTTTCCATTATGAAAAGAGCTTTCTGTTTATCTTTGTAGGTGCTGGGAAGACGAAGCATGTGTTTATGTGTCTTTAATGTTGAGGTACAGCAAATCTGTTGACAGGGGAAAGAAAGAGATGAGGAACTTTTTATTCTTGTAAAGCCTTTGTGCTCTATACTCTATACAAATATTTCTTTAATTGGTATATAGATAAGTAGAAGACATATCTAGGTAAATGGAAGATCAAACCTTGTACTTCTAGAAGACCACTGCCCTTCTTGAAATGAGCAATTCAGAATTCTGTGCACAGTGTCCCCTGTCCGTACTTGAGCTCCAGGAAGAA